CCCCACCCAACTCAACAGGTTCCCACACCAACCACCATAAACTAGTTAGACTTGACAGTTGATCAAGAAGTCAGCAGCTGTTGCTTCAGAAGCTCCTTGACATCTGGTGATTGAAAAAAAACACAATTAGGAAGTTATTTGGAGTGCTTAACCCGAGGTCTACAATCAAGAAACTCAGACCTCTAAATTATATAGGCAAATGAAGGCTAGCTTACTCCCTTTTGAGGGTCAAATTATACACTACCATCATTTTACATACTAGCTCCTCTTCTAAAATTCAGTGATGGTTTTTTATCCTTAACATTCTTTCTAATCAATCCTGAGACAATCAGCGAAGAAAAACTAGAACCAAACAAAGAACAGAGTCTGATTCACCTGCTTTCAGGCCAACTTCATCTCAATAAAAGTCTGACCAAATTCAAATTCTTCCTAATTATGTGATGTGATAGGAGTGTTAGCTAACACTACACCATTGCAATCATATTACAATAAACATATCAAATCAAGGTTGTACACCTTAGGCTTACACAATGTTATATGTCAATTATATCTGAATTTTTTTAAAAATTAACTTCTCCCAAAACCAGCTGAGGAGCAAAGAACCCTCATAAACTCACCCAGAAATAATCAGTCAGCCAAGACTTGGCTTTACACAAATTCATCAAGGACCAACTATTCAACAAAGAACTTCCTCATCCCAGACGCATCCCCAAACAGCTGTTCATTCAAAATCTAGTGCTACACAAACTCATCTGAAATCAACTTGTGAGAGAAGAGTTTTCTTGTCCAAAGATCATCCAAAAGCACTGTTTAGCTAGAACTTGGCTCTACACAAATTCATCAAAGACAAGCTGATCCTCAAAGTACTCTCCTATCCAAACAAGCTCTTCAGCAAGGACCTACCACAAACACACTCATCCAAAACAAGGCAATATACAAAGAGTTGCATCATCCAAAACTTTTCTAAAACAGCTGCCTCACCCTGCTGGTTTGGCTCAGTGGATAGAGCATCAGCCTGCAGACTGAAGCGTTCCAGGTTTGATTCTGGTCAAGGGCACATGCCTGGGTTGTGGGCTCGATCCCCAGTAGGGGTG